GTGTGTGTGTGTGTGTGTCTGTGTGTGTCTGTGTGTGTGTGTGTTGTTATTGTATTATAATTCTATGTATTCTTGTATGTGGCAGCCCTTGTGTCCAAGACAAATTTCCTTAGGGACAAATAAAGTAATCCTAATCCTAACTGGAATATTATTAATTGTAGATAGACTGCATTCTTTAATTGAAAGTAGCTCACATTTAGACAATAAAAAAAAAAAAAAAAGACAAAGCTTTAGAGACTTTTTCAGTGAGCGGTTACTGTTAGCATAAAGTGTCCTGATGGCATTATACAAATTTAAAAAATCCCCAAAACCAAATTTTTGAAGACAACGAAAAATGAAAGCGTGCTCCACTGTGTCTAATGCCTTTGTAGACATCTAAAAAAATATTTAAAAAAATTCCTCTGAAATCAAATCAGAATAGTCAAGGATGTGTTTTAGTCAGGTATTTGATGCTATAGAAACAGGAGTGTGACGTCATGATTGACAGCTTCAGAGCGAAGTAGTCCCCGAGGCACCAGCGCACTTCTTTCGGGAGGAGATTGTAGCTTCAGCTTTAATTTCCACATTTCAATAACTGAAGAAGAGAAATCATGTGGTTGTGACACACTCAAAATATTCTTCTTTAATAAACAAGACAATGTTTGAAATCATGGGACTTGTGATTTATTTCCAACTGATTCTGAGCATTTTTCCTCCATTTCACAAGTCAAACAATGCCGTCCGTCTCCATTCCATGTATTTCTGCATGCATTTAAAGCAGCACTATGTAAATTTGGCACTCTAGCGGTTAATAAACAGAACTGCACACATCCCGCGTAAGAACATTCCAACCGGATCTACTTCTCTAAGTTTATGTCTATGATGTCTCTGGCGATTCACGCAGGTCTGTGTTACTCCGCAGCGGTGACCAGGCTACAATAGTCCGAATATAAGTACTTATTATAAGTGTTTGGAAGATTAATTCATGATGTACTCGCTCATTATATACATTTAGCAAATTACAGCAAATATTTGTGTCAGACTGAAAGAAATGGGTATTCTGTAACTGGAAAGATTAATATAGATAAAACAGCAACCTATGACTTGCTAAAGTTTAAGGTCAGATATAAATGTGGAAGTGAATTCACTCCAAGAATTCAAGCATAACCGTGACTTTGTATATGGCCTTCTGGTATTCTTTAGATGCTGGCCTGAATACTGCCAAAGCCTGGTCGTACTCTGCCAGAGCCGTGTCGAGTTTACGTTGCTCAATATACCCTACAATGGCTGAAACAATCACATCAACTGCCAACCCAATCACAATGGAGGCACATATCCCACTTGCAATTTTACAATATATAGATGTTACGGTTTTCAAAATAATTTTTTTTTTAATTAGATACGCCACTAAAACTCCGGCTGAAATCTGGCAAACTAATGTAATAGCAGCTTTATCAACAGCTGGAATTTTGTTGAAGTCTTTGAGAGACATATGTTGTAGTTTCTCATACAAGGTAGGTCCCAGCTTCTTCTTCATCTTCTCGTCAACCTCCTCAACATTTGCTAGAATCTGATTCACACGTTCAATCATCACATCACAGTTCTCCTTGACAGTGGCTTTCTCGTTCAGGGTGATCGGGCTGAAGGATGAATGCAAGTGCTTATTGACAATCTCAGTGAGACTGTTGGTGGCTTCGAAGTTGTCTTTCATCAGATCAATAAGCTCTTGACTTCTGCGGATAATCTTCTCCCTTTTTTCAGGATTTCCACGGAGGAACAAATCACTCAAAGCCATTTTCCTTTATGTTAGGGTCTTGAAACAAGACAGAAACAATTACATGAGAAAACTGGAATTACACAAACAGATTCAAATGACAGACATGCGCAAGTTGAAGTACAATGTATTGTGTGTGTGCTAGTTTTTTGTGTTTGTTTATGTGTGTGTGTGTCTCTTTAATAGGTTCACTTCAACGCTGCGAAGCGGTCGCTATGGGAACACATTCGGTGTGACGAATGTCTGAACCCTTATACCATCACACCATTGTATTGGCCAGTTTTTGTTTGTTTTTGTTTTGTAGGCAGTTTACTGGGAACAGGGATTTAGTTAGAGTGGGGTTTTGTTTTGTTTTATTCTTTTCTTTGATTTAGCTCCGCTCAAGTCCTGTTCCCTGGTCCTTAATCACACTATTACCGTTGTGTAGCGCTTTTCGCCACATTTTGCCAGGGTTATAATACCTGGGGTTTATTTATTTATTTTGTATTATAATGCCTCTTATACCCCTAACTGCCTCGGAGACGACAGAACATGTTCACACATCAGAAGAGCGCTATGTGGACCCGGTTGTCTTTGTTAATGATGATTTACAGCCTACCCCAGAAGCTTGTAATTCGATTTCTTTCGGTTGTGAACTGTACGACGATGATGTGCTCTGATTCTGAGGACCTAATGGGTGAATTGTGCAGTTCTCTCCCTCCAAGCAGACAGGAAAAACGCACTTCCCCGTCTTATAGCGAGTTTTTAGACGTGATTACTAGCGCTGCAGGCAAGCTGGGGTTGGAACTGGACAGCTAACCGATGCAAAAACGGGCCAAGTTGAAACTGGTTCTGATTTTTGACTAGCCGTGCCCCAGCCAGCCCTGTAGGCTTCTCCCCTTCTTCCAAGACCTCCACCAAGATGATTTCAAGATCTTGGAAGCAACTGTTTTCAATGCACATTACTAATCCCGCTGCCGCTGACTTCGCAACTCTCTCGCAGCCCATCTCGTGCCGAATTCAGCTCCTGGCTCTTATCCGCTTGAGCAGACTCTTTGATTGGTCTTCCAGCTATTTTCAGGTACGTGAAGGCGTTATGGTATATCGTTCCCATAGCAACCGCTATTGCAGCGTAGAAGTGAACCTATGAAAGGGAACATCTCGGTTACGTATGTATGTATGAGACTCTGCGATGCCGGCCGTTCCCATACCTTCGATAGCCGTTCCTTGGTCTTAAAAAATGATGAAATTGTGTGCAGCACGGTGATATGAGCATACATGACGTATTCTCGGAGCGGTGCTAGGCACTATTGGCCAATAAAATGGTGTGATGGTATTAGGGCTTCAGACATTCATCACACTGAAGGTGGTCCCATAGCGAGCGCTTCGCAGCGTCTCGTTTCCTTTTCAGGGAACCAAGGTTACATACAAAACTGAAACATTCTCAACACAACATGTACACTTGCCAGACAGCAGTAAACATTTCTAATCTGCTTCTCAGTGCCAGACTTGTAATACTAGAACTAGATGCCGCTTGTGGCGCATGTTAATGGGTTTCAGCAAATCAGTGCTGAGTCATCATAACTCTATCACATATTAACAGTTTAAAAGAGAAGATTACAATAAGGAAATAAATGAACACTGAGAATGAGATTGACTGCACACATAATATAGCCTATAAGGTGTAGAGCAGAGTCAATGAATATGTGCAGTCTCGCTTCAATAATGCACAATAAACACACTGGTGGAATCAACAGCAAACACATCAAGTAACTAAGACAGATACAGCAGCTGAGTGAATGAACTTACATTTTCTCAGGAAGCTGCACAAGCAGGTAAACACAGGAGAGGCTCCTCAGTGAACTGCTGGAACTGGAATGATCTAGAAAGCGGCTCCCAGAGTGATGTAGTGATGTAGTGATGTGATGTTGCCTAGCAACACCGAGAGCAGCATCTCTGATTGGTCAGCTCTCCCTGACGAACACGATCCAGTCTGGAACTGATACCGAAAGCAGCTTTCCTCTTGCTATGCGACAGCCTCTCCCAGGAGCTGACATGGGGTAAAATTCCCCTCAGTCTGACAAAGCAATTTGCTTTATGCATTTACAGCAAAATCAGAGTACATGAAAAAGAATATAATCAATAATTATAAATTATAAAATTTTAATAGCCTATTTGAAAACTTGAGGTAGCCTAATTTTTAAATATAAAGTCATACTTTTTTTACTCAACCAACTAGTTTGAATACATTCGCTGTAAAAACAAAGGATTTGATGTTCAGAACAGAGAAACTGCAGTAATTAAGCCATGCCCCCGAGCGCATTTTACCCCACAGAAAAGAAAAAAAAAAGTCATTCTGAAAATAAATTTTTCTTAAATAACACTTACTCTCTATCTACAGGGCTTACTACTTTCATGTCATATAGAACTGTTTTGTTCTACAAAACCAACCTTTAAAACATTTTTTCTCTAATAGCTGAAAATTAGATAATTTACTGTGAAATCTGTTTTCTCTCAGGTACAGCACCAGTGTAAGCTTCATGGTGAATATTTCTACATTACAGAGCCCCTCCTAATAAACTAAATGCTGCTATCTGAACCTGTGTCATCAGTGTCATCACACTATTTATACATAGTACAGCATCTCAGCTGAAAACCATTGACACAGAGATGTTAAAAAATCGGTCCCACTAGCTCTAATGGTTCATGAGTTGATGGTAAAAGAGTAAAACTGGTCCGCAAAACTTTTAACTCGATAGTTACATTAACACATAGTGTGTTGTTGCTCACTAGCACTTCACTTAATAGCACTTAAATAGGATTGCACAAATGTTTTGAGTATTGTGAAATTATCAGGTTTTACAGCGTGTAATAAAGTAATGCAGTGGCGTTATAATGAAATTAAACATGCACTAGCATCTAAATTTATGTTATGAAATCAAACAATTAGATATAGCTTATGGAACAATAGTTGAAACAGAGCAAGTCTTGTAGATCTTACTTGTAGATCTCAGGCTTCTGGAGTGGATGTAGATTTGTAAGAATGAGTGGAAGTAGGAGAGTGCTGAGCCTGTGGCTGTTCTGCTCACTGGGGTTCCTCAGGGATCAGTTCTTGGACCGCTCCTCTTCTCCATATACACTATATCACTGTTGATGAACCTAACTGGATGGTGAAATCAGTCAGAGTGGTAGGGAAGAAGCTCAGTCTTTGCCAGATTGAGCTGTAGGTGATGTTCTTTCATCCAGACTGTTATTATTTTACTAAGTGAGAAACGCTGGCGATCGAACTGTCCGAATTAATCACACTGAAACGAACCGATTCAATCAGTTCTGTCATCACTTGAAAGTGGATCAGCATGGGAATTTTGCTTCATATTTCCCATACAGTGCAATCAGTCATTTGTTTCAACTGTTTTATTTACAATAGACAAAAAATACAAACATATATACACATCTTAACACTGATTTATGTGATTGCCTGATCCACCGAATATCCATCAGGCCACACATCTGCATCCAGTGTTTGCAGATCAACATCTTTCACAAACATCTCAACGTTATACTCGTGATGTTTATTCATCAGGATCACTGCTGCAGACCTAAAGAGACAGAACATGGTTTGGTGTTTTGTCTTTGTGCCTTTAAAGCTTGAACTGACTCTTTATGCACAATTGTCACTGAATTGCAGTAAAGTCTATTTTATATTAAAGAGCCGGTAGAAACATGATTTCGTGACTGAAACATGATTTTATGACTGATTTTTGTCATTTTACAATATAAATATCTAAACATTCTTAAAATCAAGACACAATTAGCCTACTTTAGAAGTGAAATATACAGTACGTCTTGTTTTAAGTGAGTTAAGTGAGTTTATGATTAAAATAAGAACAAATATCTGCCAGAAGAATCAACTGAATTCAAATGGGAAACAAATCTTGCTTTAAGGATGTTTAGATACTGAAAATTAGTCAGAGCAGAGAAAACTTACAGCATTCAATCTTGCACACACTGCAGAAAATTAATATCTCCTTAAGTGTTTTTGTCTTGTTTTCTAAACATCCTTAAAATCAAGATGCATTTATTTGAGATGCAAAAACTTGTGAAGTTTTCTTTTCTGAGAAACTGAACAAAATGAAGTGATTTATGATTAAAACAAGAACAAATATCTGACACTGGAATGAAAACATGTTTTTCCTTTTTCTGAGATTGATTATATTTGTAAACATAAATTTGCCTCATTTTGATCAGTTTCTCCTAAAACAAGACATGTTATTTTGCTTCTTAAGTAAATGTATCTTGATTTATGAATCTGTGTTCAGTGTTTGTCTGCAAGAACAAATATCTGACACTGGAATGAAAACATGTTTTTCCTTTTTCTGAGATTGATTATATTTGTAAACATAAATTTGCCTCATTTTGATCAGTTTCTCCTAAAACAAGACTTATGTTATTTTGCTTCTTAAGTAGATGTATCTTGATTTATGAATCTGTGTTCAGTGTTTGTCTGCATTGGAAAACAAGACAAAGAATAATAATGAGCAGCAACAGCAGTTTTTGCAGTGTGATCAGATACAGTAAACGTTATTAAAAGGTACTAAAGATCTGTTTTCAAACTTTGAAGTGTTGCTAATGCAAGACATTTACATTTAGAGACCACACTGAATTGAGTTCCATTCAATTTTCTTTACTTGGTCTTAATAAAACCTGTTTGTGTGTGTTTTGTGCCATGTTTGATTTGTGGTGTGCATCCAGTGATCATTCGTTCACTCTCACAAAACATCTCCATCATCATCATCATCCTCCTCCTCCAGTCTGTGGTTTCTCTCACAGTTCCAGCCGTGGCTCTTATTGCCGCAGGTTTGTGCTGATTAAAGTGCGTGTTCCTGGACTCGATCCGTCTGCGTCTGCGCTCTCAGAGCACCATGGTGGGGACGTGGCGCAGCAGTGCAGGGTGGGGAGCGGGCCGAGGCTCCGGGTTCGATCCTGCGGGTCTGTGTCGCGCACTCTTCTGATGCGCGCGCAGGCCGGCCAGCTGCGAGTAGGCGCTCTGGCAGACGGTGCACTTGTAAGGCCGCTCGCCGGTGTGCAGACGCACGTGGTTGCGCAGCGTGGAGGACTGGCTGAAGCGGCGGCTGCAGAAGCGGCACACGAAGGGCTTGTCCAGTGTGTGGATGCGCATGTGCGAGCGCAGGTTGCTGCGGGAGTTGAAGCCGCGGTGGCAGATGACGCAGCGCATGCGACACGAGGAGGAAGAGGAGGACAGCGAGGAAGACGCAGCGTCGCATACGTGAGAGTCGTCTGCTGTGAAGGACAGAGAAAATGTTTGCATGTTAACTTTAATGCAGTTTAGTAGTAACATAAAAATAGATAAATGGAGGCACTTAACTGCCAGAAAATGGTTTGTCTCAAAGAGCAGAGTAAATATTATGTTAAAATATTATGTTTTATTTTACATTTATTTGCGAAAAATTACAAGAAAAAAATAGTCATGGAAAATAATAAAATCTTAACTCATTAAAACTAATTAAATTTCAAAAAGTCATGGAAATTAATAAAATCTCAAAAACTCATTAAAATCAATAAAATCTTGAAAAGTCATGGAAAATAATAAAATCTCAAAAATTAATAAAGTCTTAAAAAGTCACGGAAATTAATAAAATCTCAAAAACTCATGAAATTAATCAAATCTCGAGAAGTCATGGAAAATAATAAAATCTTAAAAATTAATAAAATCTTAAAAAGTCATGGAAATTAATCAAATCTCAAAAACTCATTAAAATTAATAACATTTAAAAAAAATCATGGAAAATAATCAAATCTCAAATTCATGGAAAAAAATAAAACCATAAAAAGCCATGAAAATGAATAAAATCTTGAAAAGTCGGGGAGAATAATAAAATCTCAAAAGTTTATAAAATCTTAAAAAATCATGGAAATTAATAAAATCTCAAAAACTCATTAAAATGAATAAAATCTTGAAAAATCATGGAAATTAATAAAATCTCAAAAACTCATAAAATCTTAAAAAGTCATGGAAAATAATAAAATCTCAAAAACTTGTGAAACTGAATAAAATCTAAAAAATTAATGGAAAAAAAATAAAACCATAAAAAGCCATTAAAATAAATAAAATCTGGAAAAGTCATGGAAAATAATAAAATCTCAAAAATCTATAAAATCTCAAAAATTCATGAAAAAATAAAACCATAAAATGCCATGAAATTGACTAAAATCTCAAAAAGTCATAGCAATTAATAAAATCTTGAAAAGTCATTAAAATAAATTAAATCTTGAAAGGTACGTGTAGTTTGTGCTTTATATGGGACATGAATTATGAAGCATGGCATGAAAGCAGCCAAAATAACATCTGAACAGATATTGTTCTTAAAACACTGGAGAGCAATCCCATCATGCACCACTAGAGGGCACACGTGTTCGTGTCTCTCACAGATGAGCATCTGCTCCACATTCCTTCCTCAAGCTCTTAAACTCAGACTAATTAAACTTAAAAGGGCATAATGAGTTTGATTGTTCTGAGGTTAAGCTGCAGGTGAACACGTACCGCTCCTCTTCTTCTGCTGCTCGTCCTCTGTCCCCGGAACGCCAGGAATTCCCAGGAAAGTGTTGTGGGAACTCCCATACCAAACCAGCAGCTCCTGATCCGGAGGAATAGTCTGGAAATACAAACACTCAGATGTCATTTTTAAGTAAACACGGACATTTACTGTCTTTTGAATATAATATATACATTTTGACAAAAATATGTTCTGAGAACGTTTTGTTAGCATTCACATTGTTATTATTTCTGAACGTTCTCCAAACAAAAAACATTAAAGAAATGTTGCATTTTATTATTTTGCAAGCATTATTGGAACATTACTTTTTAATGTTCTCTGAATCATCTGAAACTAGTACGTAACATTTAAAAAACAAAAACAAAACAACAACAAAAAAACGGTAAACTAAAATGTATCAGAAAAACATTCCATCAATTAAAGTAAATAATGCTTTTGTGCTAAAGTTTTGAGAATGTTATTAAAGACCTCAGCACTTTGAACAGATGTTGTATGAATGTTACTGGAAGAACGTTTGTTCATAACTTTGATTTTTTGCATTTGTCTAATTAAAAGCCGTTTTAGTCATGAATTTAATCATATTATAATATATAAAATATATCTATTCATTTTTTCCAGCTTTCACTGACATTTTTTTTACCAACATCATCCTAATCATAACTACCAAAAATTCATTCATTGTCAGGATTTTAAAGCCTTTAAATGTCAGTTTGACTATAATGTCACAAAAAATATTTTATTGTACCTAAGTGACATTTTAAAATTCCCATAAAAATTAAAATTTCTTGCAAATTTAACAGCCAAACCAAAAAAAGGGGGAAAAAACAATTATTTAGTGAAAATTATCCTCCTCATAATTTTATGTAATTGGGAAAATTACATAAAATGGTTTACATAAAATAGTTTGTCCAAACCTCCGGAGATCACAGTAAATATTATATGTGCTGTTTTATTTTTTGTTTATTTGAGGTGACATTATACATCATATTTTATAAATGTGATCATAATTTGTGATCTATCTGAGTCAGGGTTATTATTGTTAACTAACTAGCCACACACACACACACACACACACGCACAAAACTATTTTATTGTACCTAGAGTGAAATAGGTTTATGAAAAGGAATATTAAAATTCCAATAAAAACAAAGGCTGTTTTGTGACAATATTTCTTAATAATTTTATGTTATTGTTTTTTTTAATTTTTTGAAATACTAAAATATGGTTTATGTCCATATTAAATTTATTCAGATTTTAAATCCCATACATTTCCACGTGCTCTTAGTTTTGGACCTCTCTGTGTACAGTATATTGATGATGAGCACTGTATGACTGAGTTTCATCACTCATCATGAGACTTTATGAGGAAGGTGTCTGACCTCCAGGGTTTTGTAGAAGATGCTGCTACCGATCTGAACCACCTCCAGGTTTTGCTCCTGCTCGTTCCGGGCGCATTTAATGTAGGTCATCCAGCTGCGCTGGTCCTCCTGACTGGCATCGATGAAGCAGCGCACTGTGCCGTCCTCGTTAAACACCTGAACACACACACACACACATCTCTTCATTAAACCACTTCATTTGAACCAGTCCCATGAAGAATAATGAGCACACACACACACACACACACACACACACACACACACAGACACACACACAGACACACACACACTCTCTCTGTCACACACACACCTCCCACATGAGGTTATTGTTCTTCCGCAGGTCCACGTGCTCAGGGGACACGAGCCTCCCGGAGAACGGGCCCATCTCGGTCCCGGCTTTGATCCAGGTCTTGGAGAAAATCCCCAGACCTTCTCCAGGGACTGAACTCTGAGCGATGATGACCTCGCTGGGCAGAACCAGACTCGACAGCTTCTGCACCTCTGCAGGACACCGGCACCATGAATATCAATAAGCATCATCTGACATATTCAGCTTCTTTACTGGCAGAACTTTTAACATCCATCAATCTTTCCATTGCACAAAAGGTTCTTCAGATTATTCAAATGTTCTTCACACTAAGAAAAAATGGTTGGTAACACCTTATTTTAAGGTGTCCTTGTTACACATGTTACATGTACTTACTATTATAATAACAATAAATTATGCATATTTGCATGCAAGTAATCCTAAACCAAACCCTAATCCTAACCATATAGTAAGTGCATGTGGTTAATTAATATTACTCAGTACTTAAATGTATATAAATACACTGTAACAAGAACACCTTAAAATTAGTTTTTTAAGTGTGTAACATGTTAATAATATATAAAATTAATGATCAAATATATAATATAATCTGTTGGCCTATATAACAATAACCAGGTTATATCTTACTTTATTGCTCATGATAAGCATTAAAATACGATATAAGATGGTGATTGTTATATAGGCTGCTATATTAAATATACACAACAAGCAATATTAACATATTAAACGATCTTGTTTTTATAGACTTGCAAAAACATAAATGACACTTTTACTTTAATCGTGTGTAAACGAATTAATATTAAAACGCTCACGAATATAAATAGTTTTGCTTGTTTTAATTAAAACATTCTGGTCTTCTGTGATCTATTAATATCGCTTGTTATGCTGGTGTTAATTTAACATTTAATATGCACTTTTCAAATCATTTCAAAGAACACAATAGCGTTCATAAAAACAGTTTTGATTATTTAATTCGCTTAGTCGTCAAACAAACGCGATTTTATCGTTTCTAGCGGCAAAAAAGTGGCTCATCTTTGTAATGAGACTTTGGCAGACGCATCGAAACGAATGAATGAAATTAATGCCCTTTATTATTATTTTGGTCACGAAATATGACCTCTATTTAACCGGATTAAGTGCGTTAAATGTTGGGGAGGGAAACTGTAAAAGCGCATTGAAAGCCGCCTCAAAAGCGCCAAAGAAAGACGCTCGCATTTAACGTCAAAATCAAAGAATCGCGCATTTGTTGCGCACAAAACGCGACCAGAAGCGGCTGAGAAGAGGTGAAGAACCGCATTCGTTCCGCTTTCACTGACACTCGTTATTCTCCACTGACTCATTCCACATTCATTATCCTTTCAGCACGTTTGTAGCAATAAATGTGAGTGAATGAAGCGATGGCTTGTTTAAAAACACGCAGGAATTTCGCAAACAAAAAGATGGAAAGGCGATTAGCTGCTTGACATGCCGTGAATGAGGACAGAAAGAGCCGTTCACGGTGCGTTAATAAAGAGAAGCGGAGGTGCCAGCGCAGGAAAAGAGATCCGTGAATGCGGGATAAAGCTCCGAGAATGGGGATCTTTTCTTTGGCTTTCTCAGGTCAAGCACAAAGTTAACCAAATGAATTTAAAGCCGCTTCATTCAGTCCTCGGCGTTTACACACCCAACGCGCACCTTTCACCGCGTTAAACGGCTTCAATGGAGCGAAAGAAAAGAGACTAAATGCTGGAGAACAGCATCCTTCAAGGAGCTTGGGAAGAAATTCCCAGCAGACCAGAGAGAGTTTGTTCCCACTGACAGATCGCGCGGATCGTTCGTAAAACGAAGTTCAGGCGTTTTCCGACAAAACAAAAGTGCGATCGAAAAGTGCGGAATAGGCTACAACTGACATTTATTATTATTTGGCGTAATCCAACAACAAACCACAAACATTTCTCACAATACGAAACAAAACACACGACACCAAGTCAAAACCAGTCAATCGTTTTTCTTTTTCGCTCGAATTTAGCACAAAACGGGTTTCTCGCGAACGGGTTTAAATTCAATGCATTTAATTATCTCACATTTTACAACAATAAAACAAATCATCTAACTGCATACAAATGCAATTTCCGTCTCTGCATTTGAAACTCAACAAGAATATAATTCTACTATCATGAAAGCATATTTAAAACACTTAACAAATAATTTTTGTTTGCGATTTCAGCCACGCGATCCAAAACTAACAGATGGCTTGTGCAGATCAACACTTCGCTTTAAATTGATCGATATAGCCTATCATTGATAAATATAACATGTTGAAACTTTAAAAAACATAAACAGATAGGGTGTTTTTTAATAAGTTGATTTCGTATAATCGAGCGCTTCGCGAATTTCACAAATTCAGATAAATTGGGACACTTTTTACCATTAAGATGACTTGGGTAAACAAATGTCCCAGTTATCCTGAATTCATACTCTTCTTCACCCAGTTCAGACCTTACGAAAATTAACCATGGTTTTATTATTTATACATAGCCTATATATATATATATATATATATATATACATAATCTTTTTTTTTTTGGTGTGTTGATTACCATTTTTATAACCACAGTTTTACCACAAATGCATGGCTAAACTATGGTTAGTGCAGCAAAACCATGTGGTTGCCATAGTTTAACTATAGGTTTTCTGGTTTTATTTGTAGTAAAGCCATGGTTAATTGTGGTCTAACAGTAGAACTCAGCGATGTTTACCTCCGGGGAAGGACTGCGCCAGAGCCTCGGCGGTGAAGGCGGTCCTCTGCGGCTCCTCGCACGGATTCTCTCCCAGCACGTTCCTCCATCGGCCGTACAGAAAACTGTGCAGGATATCAGAGGTGATGATCTCACACAGCTGAGACCTGAACCTGGACTTCAGCCCGAGCG